TTCTATTTCCATCTAGTTTTTCTGGATCCCTGGCCACGTCGGTATTCACGGAACGAGCTCGCTGATACCGCAGCTAAGTCTGTCTGCTCTGGTGCCATCACGGCCGTGCCTGTCCCATACATGGACTACGGTCCTGTCTTAAAGATGCGGCTTCATGCCAGTTGGCAGTCGACTTGGAGTGAGCAACGCCATAATAAGCTTTTCCAGATCAAACCTTCTGTTGGTCTTTGGCCGTCTTGCTTCCGTAAGGATCAGAAGGAGGAAGTAGTCCTGGCAAGGCTACGCATTGGTCATAGTTTTTTAACCCATCGTTTTCTTTTATCAGGTATTGACCCACCGATGTGTAGCCATTGTGACACTCAAGTCACAATAGCCCACATTTTAATGTCGTGCCGTCGTTAAGAACGTGAGCGGCGGCACCATTTTAGACGCATTTTTTCTAAAAGTTTACCCCTGACGCTGGACAGTGTCATTGGTAATGGTGACACTGTCCAACTAGATTGTATTTTTAATTTTTTACACCCTATACGTCATTTTAATTCTATATAAATCTTTTACCGACATGTATTGATTTTTAACTCGCTGTTTTTTACATTTTACTTTAATCTATTTTCATTGTTTTTACCGGTTGTATGGTGCAGATAGCCTAGCTGCTTTGCACCATGAAACACCAACCAACCAATCAGTTTTGAAAATGACCTTTCACAACTTGCAATTGAAAATGCGATGGTAATCAATAATCTGTATGCAATGCATATTGTGGGAAAAACATCCCTTCCAAACTTCAGTAAAGACTCAAGAACATCTTTATGATCAGGGGGAACTGTATTCTTTCCAGCTCTAAGAAGCATGAGAAAGTCGATTTCATCATACAACTGAATGGCTGTCACATCAGTATCATAAAAATGTGCAAAATCCAAACATTCTTTTTTTAATCTCTCTCTTTCTTGTTCATTTTCAATTATGAAGAAATTAAAATTGGTCACTGAGGTCTTGAAGACGAACACTACGATCTTTAATTTCTGTTTTTAATCAGTTCTCAACCTCTATCATTACTCTATTCATTTCTTGCCGTAAGTCCATTATCTCTACCTGATTCTCCAGGCATCATTCTTCTTCTCCTTGTTTGTGTAATTGGTATTCCCCATTTTTCACAATATTCATTAGCTGAATGTATTGCATTGTGAATAATATCATCATTTTTTAAATTCAAAATTTGAATAAGCCATTTTAGATTGCAAGAAGGTTCATGGAAACCCCTTTTCGAATTCTGAAAACTTTTTGAGACTTTCTCCACTGATGACAAAATTTGGTACCAAAAATTTAATAAAGATATAATCGTAAATTGTTGAATAGAGTTCAGAAGTGATCCTGCATCAGATTTGGTTTCTCTAGAAAATTCTCCTTCCAGCAGGTGTTCAAGGCTTGCAATAACGTTATCACACTCTTCGTAGATTACTTGCACAGCATCGTGACAGGAACTCCATCTTGTATCACATTGTCTTTTCATAGTCCTAGAGATAAATGATTTTAACACTTCCCAATGAGAAGTAGATGAAGAAAAAAAGGTAAAAGTTTTTCCAGAACTCAAAAAAATGTGACAACAACAGGTTGTACTTCACTTGCATGGACACAGGCCAAATTGAGGCTGTGGTTCTCAAAATTTACAAATACTGCTTTAGGATTAAATTGAAGAATTTTTTGTTGAACACTTCCCTTCCCTCCAGCCATAACTGCTGCATTATCATATACCTGGCCACGACAGTCCTTTATGGAAATTTTGTTTTCTTCCAGTTTTTTCATAATCATATTTGCCAAGCTGACTGCATCTTTTTTGTTGATTTGAAAAAATCCCAGAAATATTTCCTTCATTTCTACTTTGTTATTTTCGTCAATATGAACGTACCTCAGAATTTCGGAAACCTGATCTTCATGAGCAGTATCTGGAGTTGAATCCAGGATTATGTTAAAATGTTTTGCATATTCAAGTTCAGAAATTATTTTTTTTAACAGTTTCACCTAGAAGATCGATGATTTCATTTTGACTTCTGGTGGACAAGTATGTGACACTTTTTGGTTTCTCTTTTCCTCTCTGCATGTGTTCGGCTAAGTTTACGTCATACTTGGCTAATAGTCTGATTGTTGCCATAAAGTTTCCTGCATTTTCATTGATTATCTCCTCTGATTCAGTTAATCTAGAAATTCCTTCTCCTCGATGTCCACGAAAGGCCAAAAATGATGTAACTTCGACAATCCGTTCAGTTATAGCTTTCCATTTTTTCTTTACAGCAGACATCTGTTGTTGAAGTTCAGCATCTGTTGTATTCGAACACTGGAGTCGAACTACAAGGTTCAGATATTCCCTTATATAAGATTTATGGGAAGGGCTTTTTTCATGGTCAGGTATTTGGGGATTCAATTTCCTCCAAGATGAGAAACCTTCTTCCTTGCTAAAGTTTGACATTGATGATGACTGCTCCTTTGCAAACAAAAAACAAACAAAACAGTAGCATGCTTTTCGATATGGGGAATATAACAAGCATTTCCGCTTCACAGTTTCTCCATTTGTGGAAACTTTCTCAAACCACTGTTTTGAAAAGGATCTTCCATTCTTCTCGATAAATGGACCGCTTTTATTTTGATATCTTTCTGGGCCATGTTGTACTATTGTAATTTTCAACTTGTTTGAAACAGGTTTCTTCAAATAGCCAAAATCATTTCTTTCGAAAAATGTACTGAAATCTCCATCTTTTTTACATAAATCATTATCCTGACAATGAGAGAGAGAGTATTATGTTCTGAATTAGCTGATTCTAAATCAGAAGAATCCTCAGATGCAGCTGCACCCACATTATCTTTTACTTCTACTTCTTCTTTGCTTCTTTTTATCCAGTCATTTAATGTGCCTCTTTGACGGGACTCTTCTTCTCTGGCCCTTTTTTTTCTGTTCTGTGCTCCACTCAGTTTCTTTTTCTTCATCTGTGACAACTGAATTAAGAAAACAAATATTATGTACAAAAAGTTACTAAATTCATATCAAGAATGAATACTATTCATTACTTTATTTATTAAAAATTAGTTATTTATTCATAAAAACTTTAAAAACCCAGCCAAATTAAATCCTACCTTTTATATAAAATAAAACTTTTTTTTTTGTAAAAATGTTTGAGATAGAGGCAAATGTTTGCAACAGTGTACAAAAGTTTTGTTTTCCACTGAAACTGGATCAATGAAAAAAGAATTCATATAGATAATGATGTGATTTTTTAAATAATTTGTTAAATTATTCGAAACCAAAGAGATGGAAAACATGAAATTATCAACCAATTTACAGAACAAGATTACTTGGATTTCTTTATGATTTGAATCCCTTTAAAGGAAAAAATATCGCGTGTATTCTGCTCACGTCTATTACACTCATCGCATTTTGTTACTAAAATAACAGTTGGTCTAAAACACACGGGTAGCCCGCCCACACGGAAACTATTTGCTCTATACATTTTTTTAGAAAAACAAAAAAAACGACACTATTTTAATTTATACTCTAGGATGAAATTTTTATAAATTGAAACATTTTAAAGATCTAAACAATTTTTTTTTCAAAAATATAGCCTAAACACATCCAATAATTAATTAATATGGCCGTCCAATAAATTGATTAATCTTCAATATAGTAAATAACATATTGCTCATTGAACTAATCTTAAATGCGACAAGTGTCATCAAATTATTATCTAATAAATAAGTTAATATTTATATTTCAAGGTTGATTATCCTGTAGATTGATTAGAATTTTAACCACTAAAATAACAATTTCTTAAAATGGTTTTATTTTTGCTCAAAATACCTAACTTTTGAGATATATATTTATTTATAAATATCACAAATTTAATTGGCACGTGTGATGCTTTATAATTTGAATCCCTCTTGTAACATTTCATAATGTTATAGTAAAAAACCCCTCCCCCTGGGCTGTTACATTATTTATGTATGTTCCCGTAAGTGATTTGTCAATAAGACATATGGCTAACTAAGGCTTAGGAAAAAGAAATATTGTGATTCATCTGCTCTTGGCATGTAAGGGTGCTAAAAGTATTTTTTATTGAAATGATAATTATAATAGTTGCATATTGAAATGAAAGATATTAAGTATAGAAAACATTTTGCATGAAAAATGAAAATAAATTATTCTAAAATACCATAAATATGTATATTGGAACATACATAAAATACGTAATACCTTGGGGAAGGGTGGAAAGGGTTCTACTATTCGATTCGACTCTCTGCGTTGGATGGCCTCCCGATATGGATGCCTGGGGTCTCGGCACCTCCCCCCCTCTGCACGCTACTGCTTCCATGTTTACTAGTTCACACACATTATCAATCACTTCATTCTGAATTTCTTTTACTTCATTTTCTATACTCACTTCCTCTTCTCCTCCCTTTACGGTAGCAAAAAGCTCTTAATTTTGCACTGTCTGTGTGGGTGATCTTCTCCACACTTTACATCCTCTTACACATTCTTCGGGTGAGTGTCCTACTTCGCCACACATTTTACACGTACAGCCGGCAGTGAAATGTCCAACCTGCTTGCATCGGACACATAGCTTTTTCATTCCAGAGTAATTTGCTATTACCCTAAATTGTCCTACATATAAGAAATTTGGAATTGGGTCTGTTATATATACACCGAACCTCCTAGCTCCTGTGAAAACCTTGCTATCTAAGTAAGTCTCCCATGTTATTCTCAACACTTTCCCATAACTCTCCTAAGCATTCGTTGGGTACTTCATGTGGGAGATGCTTGATCCTAACGGTAATTACGTTTGTTCCTGCTAGAGTGTACTTTTAATGTACTTCTTTGTAGGCAGAATGGCCTATACCAAACGCTTTCGTCGTTTTATTAAATAATGTGAAAGAACAAATTTTTTCCCACCTAATGGCTGCAAACATTCTACTGCTCCTTCCCCTAGACTTTCCTCTACTGCCTTAATGACATTGTGCGGGCGCGCACCCTCAGGAATCTCGGTAAAAACCGAGTTCCTTCGATTTATTTTAATTTTCTGTGCCATTTTGGCACCCTGGCCTTATCTATTTACTAGTCTTCATTAGTTGGAACTGTCTAACTAGTTTTAGAACTTGCTTAACTTTAACCCTTCCCTCTTCTAACGTTCTTGATTGGGGCCGTGGTAGAGGGTGGTCTATCTTATCGGTAGGCTGATTAGGTCATTCGAGTGGCTTGGATGTCTCAGGAGTGCTGTTATGGGGAGCGATATTTGTTACGGAAGTAAATGAACCTTTCTTTTTTGTTCCAACACTTGAATGTACTTGGGACAACCTCAATATGAGGCAGCATGGGGTTCTCCGCAGTTCATGCAGTTGGTTGCCTGTCTCTCATTAGGGCAGTCAGATATGGCGGGAATTTGGCCACAGCGGTACAGGTGGAACGTGAATGCCCAAACCACTGGCAGTTGAAACATTGTAATGTTTTATGGGTGGCTTCTACAACATGGTGCTGGTACCATAAATAGACCCCGTCAGCTATCCACTGGTCGACTTTCTTAGGATCTGAAAGAAAGAATCTTACCATGGGAATTGCCTGTTTGAAAAAGTCTGTTAATTTCTGTAGTGATATCAGGTTGGCGGTGGTTTGATGTTGCTGGCAGGTTTGGTGGTCACGGCTTGGTCTGGTGTGGCGGGTTGTTTGTTGCTACCTGGTGAATCTCTGGTCTCGATGGTGGCTGTACTACTGGGCTTAACAGGAGAGTTTGGGCACAACATGTAGTCACCCCCCTGAACTCAAAGGAGATGTGACAGTTAGTTCCTGGTCAATGTCTGACGAGCAAAGCTCCTTACACTGAATGACCATAGCATACCTGTTTTAGGTTGTTAGCAGTTCTCCTAGAGACCGAGTAATAATGGTTCTCTGGAAGTTGACTGGCATCATGAGGCAGGTAAAGGCGTTACAGAAAATATACACACACATAATAAAAAGAAAAGTTAGTTGGCAAGAGTCCTGCAAAGAGCTGATTAAGTAAGTCGTACTACTTTCCAGGATAGGAGGTAGTAGACTCGGCTACAAGTAACTAAACTATTTAATAACCAATGGGAAAAACGCTTTGCTTACCTGTTGGGAGCTCCAATACTTGCCTGTGGTCACCACTCTTCTTCTCAGCTAAAAGGCAGACACACTCACTTACTCATTAAAAACAAAAACTTTTGTGTAAGACCGCTAGCCCTCTTTCATTGGTACTGTGACATATTGATTTAATGTTATGTAAAGCTTGTGGTGACACAAATTAACTTCAGCACAGCCCTTTTGCCCTGCTCTTTTTTTCTTAATGCTGCCTCTTGCCCTGACCAGCAAAAGCAAATTTGTATGCCCACAATCTCAAAACAGCAATAAGTGATCAATAACCTTTGAACACCCTTGATGGCAAATGGGTTTTAATCACGTGTCATTTCAAATAGAACATATCTAAATATATATACCAGGTTACTTACTCATGTAATCAACAATAATGGCTGCGAGAGCATGCTAGTGGTCACCAAAAAGGAACTCTCTCCGAAGGAGTGTTCAAATTTTGAAAATATAAAAAGAAAAAAAAATGAGGCTAAAGGATTCGGTTTGTTTAAGATGAAGAGAGAACAACTGTAAAACAAACTCTCAGATAGTACCTAGGTCAGTGACCTTATTGTATTTTCTCCAGGCACGTTCACCCTAGACTGATGCCAAAAGACCCACCAACAGTGACAATGAACAAAACAACACCATCGCTGTGACTTCGAAGAAGAGACCCGACCTCGCCTCTGACGTGGGAGTTCCTTCCTACAGACGATGAAGACCGGCAATGAGAAAACACCGACAACGGCAACAATGAAAATTCGGACCAGGAAATGAAACAACAAGAGGAATTCAGGAACAAAACAGAAGCCATAACATATGTAAGTCTGGGGTGCAGATGACCCTGATGATGTACGAAAAAAAGATCTTAGACAACTCATGTATTTAGCTAGAGTTGAACTAGAAAATAAGATGCAGCAAACATCCAAAAAAACTGATACGAGTAGAACAAACAAAAAAAGAAAAATGTCAAAATCACCCCAGCTTGATAAAGTAACCGATGACAGTGATGCTGAGGCTGATACTGTCAACAACGAAACAACTTCTGGGAGCAAGGACACAACCCAGATCATTCGTGATCAGGGGAGTACACTATTCCATAAACACTGAAGACATTCAAGATATGCTTGAAAAACAAGAAATACAAGTCACTAAAGTAGAAAGAATCATCTCGAACATAATAAAAAAAACAACAAACCTAGTTAAAGTTTACACAGACAACACCCAGGATATCACACAATACATTAATAATGGTATCATCATGTAGTACCAACGATACACAGTGGAATAGACAAAGACACCAGCTATAGTGGTAACTTGATGCTACCACTGTCAAAGATTTGGGCATGTAACAGCGGCTTATCGGGCAGCCCAAATATGTGTAGGGTGTGGCAAAAATCACCACATAACACAATGCCAAAAACAACACCCAGAACCTAAATGCATAAAAAATAATACAGACACAACCACCACAACCAAACTAGCAAAAGATGCTGTTACCAATGGCACAAGCACAAAAAACAACCTATGTCACAAACACAATAACAAGACAAAACGACAATGAGGCTCAAATAGTAGTAGAACCTGAAAACATACAAAAAAACAAACCAACTAAATTTAAAAAAATGTAACTACTTTAAGTAGCTGCCCACCTCTAGAAACACAAAATAAGACTGCATACACAAACACTGAAAAGGCAAAAGTATTTAAAGAACACCTACAAAACACACCAAGAACCAGACATGAATGTACACTTGCTACAACAAAGTTAACAACCACATGAAACTAAACATAAACATGTACACACCAAAATTCCCAGTTAACATACAGAGCCTTGATGAAACAGAAAACCCAGTTACATATCTGCTCACAAAAACAATTACCGAAATGGAAGTTCAACACGCTATAAAAGCTACCAAAAACAAGGCACCAGTAGAAGACTGCATACAGGTTATCATCCTCCAAAAAGGCACTCGCAGATTATAGGGAGACCTCACAGCACTTTTTAACTTATCACTAAGTTCTGGATACATCCCGGTTTCTTGGAAGCAAGCGATCGTACTAATGTTCCATAAAGAAGGAAAGCCAGCAAATAAACCAAACAACTACACATAGTTTGATTGTATAGGTGAATATCAAATTGATTTGACTTAGTCAGTTGATGAGGTTAGCTGATTACTAAAGTGTTATAATAGTCAAAATTGAAAGGCAAAATTAATAGTTATAGAAAACGTTCGGGAAACAAGTAAGTGAGATGACGACGGCAAGTCAAGAAGTGAACTATGTTAGTGGAAAAATGGATAGAGACAACCAATCAACCAATGACAGTGTGAAGAAAGAAGTGTGCGAGTGAGTATGCAAGTGAGTGTACGAGTTGAGTGCGTGACTGAACAGACAGAAACAAAACTTGCCATAAATAAAACGGATTGTGTGAGCCCAAGACAATGTTAAGAAACCTCCAGATAGTAACTGTATATTGTTATTGTAGACCAACCTTGTTAAGGAAGGTGAAGTTATAGAAGGTTTCAGAGTAGAAGAAGTGTGTGTTATCAAAGAACAAGCAGTGACTGACTCATACACTGGATGACACTTGTTGTACCCAGAAGAAGCCTTCAGTGAGGTGGATTGCTGACATGTCAATTGGTGTACAATATATTTACATGGGCTTCGATGGTCTGATGGGGAAGAAACTCTTTGGGAGCTATTTATGTTATGTCATCAGTTAAACAGGGACTATCACAAGATCTATACGAAGGGGAGAGAAAAAGGCCAGAATTCTTAGCCAGTGGATTGGTCTCCCTTTTATCAATCTGCAAGATTACAGATGTCCACCCAGTCGACGAATGAATTTGTCAGGTGGGATAGTTTGTACATACCATCAATACCCAGACAACCATTGTGCTAAGTGGAAGTAAGGTGCCTTATATAATTGGATAATTAACAGTGAGTGGTTAATTTTCTGGAACTTTAGGGAAGAATTTTAAAGTACATACAAGTCAGATTGCTATACATTTATTGATATATTGATTATTAAGCATAATAGCATATATATATATATATATATATATCGAACCAATATCATATGTCAATTAAAGTTTGTGTGTGAAGGAAATCTATATAATCTAATGTTTAATTATTAGTATTATTATATAGATGTAACTATTGATGTTATACATGAATGTATTATGGATGTAGTTTAGGATGTATATTAAAAGTTTTAATACAAACATTGATCGATGAAGAGAGATGGACACAATACAGTTGGTGGTAAATTTTGTTACAAGTAACAACTTTTTACTAAGGATAGAAGCAATTGAATATTTTTGAGGAAATTTTACAATCACTTCAGCTTTTTTAGTAGTTTAAAAGATTTTAAGAAAGAAATCATAAAATATTTTCTGAGTTTTTGAGTGAACATATACATGAAGAAATAACATAAGTAAAGACATTTGTATTGCAAAATGTGGTCAAGAGATAGAAAGTACAACTAGCTGGTTAAGTGGTGATGAGTCATGAGTTAGTGAATCATGATTTAACAGTTATCAAGAAATGAAGATATTGCCTAGCAATGAAGTCATTGCACTAGCACCCATGATGGGTTGTGATTAATTATTAATGCCAACTCGTTAGTACTGTGAAAGCTATGAAAAAAGTTGATGTTGGCACACAAAAGCAATACTTTTATATACTCCTAACATGACACCTTTTCACTTGTGCTACTACACTAGCAACTGGATAACTCACCATAACAGTAACCAAGCTCTTGAGAGTTTTGGTTATGGTTTTGGACTAGCCCAGGAAGTTGCACAGATTGACTAATAAAGTGTTAGAACTACTTGCAGGTAGCTGGGAATACTATTTGGAAGGTTGAGAGAATAGAAAGAAAATATGGGTTAAAAATTCGTGTCTGAAGCCAAAAAATCAGTTCTTGCCAGCTCTTACCAGTTT